ACTGGGGGTTGCTGCAAATTATGGAAGAGATGACTGTGATCCAAAAGAACAATGCTTTTACATTTCTCTATTTGTCTTTTTCCCCCTGAAAGGCCGTACGTGTTAAGAGGACAAACATTATGCACACACTCTAACTGGGTTTACAAGCAGCATTTGCCTCCTTAAAAACATCAAAGCTAACATGTGAAATGAATTGACTTTTTTAAAAGCATTTCTACTACCTGCATCTTTCCAGTTGCAGAGGTCTTTCTGTTTCTTCCATGGGTTAGCACAGTCCATAACGTTTGCCATAGGAATGATGCTAAGATGCAAAAACTACCTGCAATCCAGTCAGATTTTCCATTCAAGGGTAGATCCATTTTTTATTTACTTTGGTCTCTTGGTTTACTAAAAGTAATTTTGTAGGTGTTTTCAATGCCCTCCCCAGCTCTGTAAGCAGTACCTAGCTAGAGAAGCATAGATACCCTTGCAAGAAAGAGTGAATGCAGTCCCACAATTCAACACATTCCCTGTACCTATAAGTGATGGCGTAATGACAAGTGTGAAGCAGGTGCAAGAGCCTACAGAGAAAATGTGCATAGCATAGCTTGAAAGGTAATTTGCTCTGACAACCTAGAGCTTCTCAAATGAGCCAAATCTATTAGCACAATCCCTGGCATTTAACAGTTCATACCGTCAGTCATCTGTTAGCTGCTTTCTCCTTTTAATAAATGAGGAATGAAAAAAATATACAAAAAGCAATATTTGGGGGCCAAAGGGAATGAAACATACACTATCCTGGTAGGTTTCTCAGTTATTTGATAGCAGAGGAATGTAGATTCAAACTACTCCTGGGTTTCATTTCAAGTTCTAGAAAGGAGTGTGTTCCAACGGGTTTATTAACTGTTTTGCTTCCCAGTCTGCCTTTTTCCCTTTGTTCCACTCTGTCCCAGTCCACCACATATCTGTCCACAACCTGTCCCTCCCCTCATATCCAATAGCCTTAACTTCTGCCAAATGTAAAGTCCCTGATCCAAAATACAGAGATGCTAGATTATTTCAAGAAAACAGTTGTAGGAACATTTTAATGTAGGCAAGCAACGCATTTTTTGTTAATACTCCCAGTAATGGCTAGATTGTTTTAGTTGAAATTATCCAAATAAATTAAGTTTAAAGCAGATACTTCAGAGTTTAGCCTAAGCCCATAGGCTTAGGCTAAGCTCATAGAGCAATAAGCAACTGAAAACAGTCTTAAAATAGGAAATGTAATATAACCAATGACTGAGAATGCTACCAGCTCCCCTTGTAAATAGAGTGCAGAAAACATTTAGTTTTCAACAACAGAATTAAGAGACAAAAGGTATAATACAGTGTTAATAGTTGCAGTCTATTTGTCCAGACTTGAGGTATAATCTGCAGGATTATACTTTCATTGTACAGCAAGTGTAAGGGTATGACTGTAGATATAATGTGAACAGTAAAACATTGTGAATGAGATGCAACATAATTCTCTCTATGACTGTGTATATACAACTGTGCAGAGACTGGCAGGAAAAGAGTTTTAAATATCTCTCTAAGGACCAAGTAACAATCTGATTACTGTCAATCCTAAACACTTAAAAATCATGAATCAGTCCCTTTTTCCCCCAAATTGAGATTGACTCAACAGTCATGAGTGTTTCTTTTTATCCCAAGAGTTTCATCTTCTTTTTATTTGACTATTGGGCCTTTAGAGTATATTCCTCTTAAATTTTAAGTGTTTTTCCACAATAATGAGAGCATCTTACTCTTTCTTTTTAATATAAGGCAAGGGTGCGCCTATGTGTCACACTATGTAGCTGTAGCAACACGTTACATTACTGTAGTGATACACTATGGTGACATTGCAATCGTGTGTGTCTATATATGACTAGTAGCTACTTCATCGTAGTGGCACACTCCCCCATTATACATTACCAGCTAACCTGTTGATTAACTTCAAAAAGCCCTAAGTGGACACTGTCCTGCCTGCCTTTGTCTTACTGAAGTTGAAGACACACACGCAGACACCGCTGAGCATTAGCTAGCATGGGGGTGGTGTGACCATGACCTGATGCTGGTTAGGGTCTGTGCTGTGGGAGAGAGGAGGATCCCTGCTTGAGTAGCAATGGGCAACGGGGAGGTGGAGGGGGCAGGAGGAAGCCAGGCAGACACTGCTGTGCCTGCAGTTCCCCACCCCCTGCTCAGCCACCCAGAGCAGTGATAGTGCTCTAGCTAGGGAGGTCGGGGTGGGGCCAGCCCTGCTCTCTGAAGCAGACAGTCCAGCCCAGGGCTGAAAGGCATGCTGGGATGCTGGGGGACTCTATCAGGAAGAGGACTGGGATGCAAGTTCCATAAACTGGTTAAACCCAAATCAGTTATGTCTGATACTACATTCAACCAGGTTTATCTCAGACCAGTTTTGGCCATTTTGAATGGGTTTATGTGCACTGAACTTATGTTCTGCTACAGGTTTAAACCAATTTCTGATCACTTAAACCAGTTCAGTTGATGTGTAACTTCTGTCCCTAGGTAAAGAGTCCAGAAACCCTGCAACCAACATGTTAACTGGTAACAGCTACAACTCTAAACAATAGCAACAATAACTGGGCTTCATGACAGCCCTGCAGGCTCTGTGGACACCAGGATCAAAGAATAACTTTCTTCTCTGGCCTTTAGAGCCAGGTGGTCTGCTGGAGCTTGGAGAGCTTCAAAGCACAGTTTAACAGTGCTTAGTATTTATATGATGCTGATCTTGCTTCACATTCCTGAAAAAATCTATTATGCACTGTGGGTGCCTTTATTAATTTAGTAAAGTGTCTAGCTGGTTTGGCAATAGCATGCTAAATATCAGTTAAACCTACTAATAAATTGTAAATATATATTTTGCAACAGAATCATAGAATTGAAGTTAAAGAACATGTTGTTGACATTAAAGAAACTACTTCTATGTTATCTTAATCTCTCTTGTTCTTAGTGTTGCCTTTTTGGACCTCTGGGATCAATTTGAACATGTGGGTCATAGCTCTACTTACTGTTAAAATATGTTCCCTAGCCTTGCAAGGGGTACAGACTCAGTGGAACTTTGGTCCCACTTCAACTGACTTCAGTGGGATACGATTTCATCATGTAACTGGAGCAGTCTGAAGACAATCAAATGAAGAAGGGATGAAGTTGACTGTGAATAGCCAAAATGACCAATATGTCATTTCAGGGAGAGGACACATGTCATTCCACTACTTTTAAAATTCCTGAAATCTCTCATGCTATAAATAATTACCAAGTCGTAGGAGGTTTTCAGATATAGAAATAATTTCTATGGAAATTCTGTCTTGCAGCTTTAACTGAAAAGTATATGACCTTTGTGTTAACAGCTGAAATTAAACCCACAGTTAGATATATACTTGCAAACAATACTAATGAAGGACAGCATAAAGTGTCAGGTATAAAAAATGATCACAAAATGTACTCCCTTTATAAAAAAAAATTCTTATGCTATCTGTCTTTTATTCTGTGGCCCTCATTTTGCACAAAATATGATTACCATGATACAGTAGCTGGTAGTTCTTTAAACATTATTCTTTAAAAAAAATAATAAAAAGGACATGTTATCAACATTGGGTGAGAGAGAAAAGTAAGACCTGCTTTGCCATGGCCCTTTTTTGCACTTGGTTACTAATTACTCTTTTCCAGGGGAAGAATCTCAGACTGTCAATCAAATGTGGAAAAGAGCACCATCTAGAGGAATGCAATACCACAGCTTCTGGCAAGTATTTGCTGCCTCTAAATTGTTTAAAAACACAGCTGAGTTTGCAGCATGATTATTTGTTTTCCACAGTTCCATTTTTACTCAGTTTCAGAATTTGATTTGAGAATATATTATACTTAAGAGACACTGTTTGTGTTTATTTTAGAAAAATAATTTGTCTAGAAAAACAGCTGTTTCTATTGTGACCAAAAGTGTATTTTCTCCTGCAATTATGTTCAGTACATCTCTGAGCACATTTATATTTCAAGTGAATACACATGCATTTACAATGTTTGCATATTTTCCCCATAATTTTTCTGAGTGTCTGTGTAACAGGTTTTCTCTCTGGGCTTCATACTGCTCTTCAATTGACATAAAGGGCCTTGTTACTTGTAAACAGAGTAGGACACCACCCACTGAAATTAAATCAATGTACTCTCTTTCTATCTCTCTCACCCCAGTAAATAGTTCTATTTCCTGCAATAGATTTAATAGTCTCCACCCTTAAGAGTTTACAAGAATTGGGGAGGTTTCACAGGTTATCAGATAAAAAAAGAAAAGCTTTCATGTTCAGATCTATCTTCTTTTTTGCCCCTCTACTGATGCCTGTACACCAGGTAGTCAGTGAGGCCTCAGGTCAGCAAAGCACATGGGCTTGTTTTGTTGGATCAGGATCTCAGAGTTCTGCAACGGATCTGTAAATTAGTTTGGGATCAGTATTTGGAAAAACAGCATCTGTGTTTGGAAATCAGCTTGGGGAAGATAAACTTCATTAGCTTTTATCATTGGAGAGAGTTATTTTGGCTAGCACACAAAGTTAGAGTGGGTATATATAAACTGTTTCTGCAGTTTATTCCATATAGCATTTGTTTTCTGCCTGTAGGCCTACACTCAGCTGGACCAACCCCAAAGCCCTTTCTACATATGCTCCTGCAACATTTCTAACCAAACCCTGATTTTTGAAATATATTAAAAGGATAAAGCAGAAACCAATTCAATGATTTATAGAGATTTCTTGGTAACGAATCGGATACCATCTTGCAACCACCCTAGACTGCTAATGTCAGACAGCTGAGATCTATCCTTGGCAAAGGGCTTTGTATTATGCAATGTGGAAGATTCAGGTTGGATTCTTTGTTTGATACTCATACCATTAGCTAGGACAAGGTTATTTAACACAGAGGGGGGCCACACAGCTAAATAAAGCAAATGCCAGGGTCTGATTCACTGACTTTTTCTTCCCCAAAAGTCTTACCTTCTCCACTTTTTTCAAGCACTCAAAAAAGGCCATCTTTCCCAGTCTGCTACCATTGTATCGTATGTTGATTTCTTCCAGCCTATTACACTTAATCACCTGCGTATCAAAACCATTTAGGTCTGTAGACTGTTTTCTCTCCATCTTAGTTTCATAAATCAATGAGCATTCGTGATCTTTTGTGTCTCCCTTTTCTTGTCTGTAATGAGACAAAATGTTACACATTAATGTCATTTGTTCATTTATCTTAGGAAAAATGTCAAGTTTGCAATATAAACTTTAAATATTTTTCCTCTTAAAATTGTGGATGTGGTTATTTCTTATCAAAATGAAGAATTAATAGCAATAGATATTAAGAGGGAAATGTTTTAGGTTCAGAATGTCAGGTAATTTAAATGGGTTACAACATACTGAATTTTATTCCAATTATTCATTATGGTCATTTAGTTTCATGTTGAGAACCATGGCTTCAAAAAAGAAAATGTATGTATATACATTAGTGTATTATATATTAGTGACACTGGCCTGCCTTACATACTATTACCAATTTCAAGACTTCATGCTGTCTCTGTCTGTGTCTACTATGAGTTCAGCAAGAGATCCACAAGAACCTACCATGCTGTTACTGAAGTAAATGAGAGTTTGGGGCATTAAAGGAGGTAGATGAGGCTGAAACACAACCTAGGCTTTCCCACTGTTAGTCCTCTTGGCACACTGCTGACTCATATCCATCTTATTGTCCACTATAAACCCCAGGTACTTTTCTGCAGAGCTGATGCTTAGCCAATCAGTCCCCAGCCTGTAGCGGTGCATAGGATTGTTCTGTCCTAAATGCAGGAATTTGCGCTTGTCATTGTTGAACCACATAAGATTTCTTTTGGCCCAATCCTCCAATTTGTCTAGGTCACAAATTAAGATGTTCTGCAATTACTATATTAATGACAATATTAGAATAGCTGTGTGGACTATTTATTATCTATTCCAGGAAAAAATGTGATTTGATTCCAAAAACATGTCTTTTTTTGAAAGCTCATTAATCTGGAATTAATCTGGAATAAAAGTCAGAATGGCATCCTCACAGGTTATTCCAGTCAGTTTTCAACCCAATCCATTTTCCGAAGTGACTTAGGGATAAAATTTTCTAGAGAACCTAGGTAAGTCTCCATAACAATCCGTTACATATTGACAAATTGTCCCCTGGTTCAACAGATACTGAAGGGGGAGGGGAAGAACCTACTGTAAAATTCCAGTGATAAAGGGACATTCTTAACTTGTTAACCTGAATCTGAAGGGTTTTCATGATTTTTTTGTAAACCTTACACTAATGTTTTTGGAAGCCTAAATACAAAAGCAGTGGATTAGTGCATGAGCCCTTGACAGGTGTAAATGACCAGTCCTGTAATACTAATGACTATTTGCATTTTGATCATAGTAATACAGAAAAATAATGTTATATAATATGTGATTAGGTATGCAATTAAATGTGATATTTTGTCTTTCATTTGGGCATATATTCCCTTTCAAAAAGAAAAAAGTCTCACAGCATTTCCACAAAAATCTATATTTAGATGTAGCTACCCTCCCACCCACTTTGCTAGGTAGGCTAGCATTCCAGCTGACTTTACCCAACCTCCTTCCAATCAGCAACATCCACTCTTTGACTACAGCATAGCCCTCAGAAGGAGGAAAGTTGTTATTAGCGCCCCTTTCCTGTGCAAAATTCCACTGAGCAGGCTTTCTATCTTTGCTGTATCTACTAACTACTTCAGTTAGCATAACCCAGACTTTGTAGATCTTCTGATTACCATGTTTGTGGTGAGGCATATTCTAAAGTCACTAGGCCAAACTACTGGTGGTACCCAAGTAAAAATCATGCCTGGGGTTCAGTGATTACTTAAGGGCTGTGAAACATTATTGAACTATGTGGCTGCAAAGATGGCTTCCAGCTGTATGAGAGTTCCTTCGTGACCATGGAAACCTTGAATAGTTTTTCCATAGTTCCTTAATGAACACACAGTTCCCTGGGGTTGTGAACAGCAAATGCACCAATCTGCCTACTAAGAACTACAAGTCCTAAAGAAAGTACCTGTTGTTCTCCAGCTGGCTGATGTTCACAGTTAACTGGGGGAAAAAGACTGAAGGGGGTGGCAAGCCCAAAGACCTTATTGTAATCAGCTGGGTTTCAGAAGGCAGTTAAGGAGAAAGTAAGAAGTCATTGACCAAATGTGTTAGTCTACTCCTACTTTAGCACTTCCTTGGAAATGTCACTCCTAGCTGTTTGTAGACCTGCTCACAGTTGGTTGACTGATTTGCATTACAGTCCAAATTAAATTTCAATTCAAATTAAGGGTTAATAGATGATCAAGGGGAATTGCCCCAACCAGTAGCCCATGTGCTTGAGCAGGGCCGGGGGCTTAGTCAGGATATTAATACTTAGAATACTTACTTAAGGTGTGGTGTTGTTGGCACATATGACTTTGTAAAGCTGTTACTTTGTGCCTGATAGCCTCTGTTGAGTTCCTAAGGACTGTTTTTTACTAAAAGCAACACTGGATACACATGCTAATTAACACAGTTTAAATTGCCTAATTTGGACTGCCCTAGTATGCATTAACTTCAATCCTTATTCAATGAGGATTAGTTAATTTAGATTGTAGCCAAGTTTAATTCAGACTACAAGTGACTACATGTATATGGTGATGGCTGTAGTCTGGATTAAACCTATAAAAACATAACGTCTATAAACAGCCATAGTAAATAGGCAGAGTCTTTGAGGGAGTAAGTGACTGCCCAACTTGATTGCAAAGAGCATTCTACAGTAGTGGTAAAGCCACTGTGTCTTTGGCACTGTGAAAAAGTAGAAACCTCTAGTCCTTTGAGTTATTTTTTTCAGAAATCAGTGCCTATTAGTGGGCCTACAGCTAGCTCTTTCCACAGAAGGAGACTTTATCTCTTTTGCTTGTATCTTCTAACTCTCTATGCCAAGGGTTGTTAACCTTTTCAGATTCAGGGAGTCCCTTAGAAAGTGCCAGCTCTTACCTTTCATTTGTTTTCTGAATATGGAAAAATAACGGGGCAATTCTTTGTTGCAAAAAAGTCAAAAAGACCACAATAGGTTGACAAGCTTCCAGCAGACACCATATTGACTACTGTGGATGTCTGTACATCCCTATGAGGATGGATTACAAGCAAAAAAGACATTAACAAGGATGCTGCTCTGTTTCCATTGCACTTTCCTGCTCTGTCCTCATGCAGTGCTATTTCAAATCTGGGGACTCCCTATACAAATGAATAGCACTGTCATGGGGCCATGTATGCTCCTTTCCCACCTACCCGCAAAATATGGTAATATTTTTATGACAGACCTTGAAGTTTGTTTTCTCTGCAGCTGTCCCCTTATCCCCTTGATATAACTAAGGTACATTGATGACATCTTGATTGTATGGACACACAGGAAGGAATCTAGAGAAATTTCACCAGGACTTCAACAATGTCCTCCCCTGCATCAAACTACCTCTGAGTAATCCACCCAGAAAATTAATTTCGTAGACATGACAATGAAGGTCTGCAATGACTACATTGCTACAACATTGTATTGGAAACCCTCTGACCACCACCACTACCTACATGCCGCCAGCTTTCATCCTAAACTCACCACTAGATCCATCATCTACAACCAAGCTCTATGTTACAACCATATCTGCTCTGGTCTGACTGCCTGGGATGCAAGCACCGATTTCTGCTATTACAATGCAATCCTCAAACTGTCGTCACTCAAAACAACAAAGCCAGACTCAGACCTCACTCCTACCTGCTACAATACCAACCCCAGCACAATGACAACAGAATCTCTCCAGTCGTAACATACATCTCCATGCTTGAACACTTTGGACACATCAGTTATGACTTCCAACCCCTAAAGGCACAGATATTTTCTACTGGATGGAGCCATCATGCCTGGTTGTGTGGAGCAAAGTTGTCGTTTGGTCTACACAGTGATGATGCATGCATAATAGAGGTAAAAGTATGTTTAGAGATGGACAGAAATACACCAGAAGTTGGCAGCTTATTGCCTGCAAAGAGATTGGATCTAGCCCATGAATTTCTGATCCAACCCCCATTTTACTAAAGGCATGGCTCCCTGCCTTGTGCAGAGGGAAGGCTACTCTTCCCTCCCTGCCTCAGCTTACTGTGGTTGCTGATATTGTGGCTTGCAGTTGGTGCTTGCCACATTTTTTTGTTGGTGGCTGCATTAAGATAGGGTGAAAGAAGCCATCCTCACAGAGCAGGGCACTGTATTAATTCATAAACTTTAATTTAAGGTCTGCCCAGAACTTCATCTGTGACTTGTGGTTTTCCACATGCCAGCCAGCCACTGACAAGACTTAAGTAAGGAGCTGGATACTATTACATGGTAGCTGGACTTGTTTACATCCGAGTACCCTGGCATAGTTTATCCTGACATTAGATTGACTTGGAAATTTACAACCTAGGAACAGTATGTAATAACAGATAATTAAAATTAAATATATAATTCAAAGAGAGAAACAAGATGTAACCTGGAAAGAATTATTAATTAGTCAACTTCAGCTGCTAAATTGCAATGCTAATTGAATATTTATGCTTCCCTAAAAAATAAAACCCAAGCTATGTTCTGTGCAGTGTAGGCTATTGGGAACACAGACTTTATACAGGAACACAAAATTCTTATTTTGCTTAAGCCCCATGTCAAACTGGAGCAACGCTGTGGTGTTTCACCTCACAATTTGCCTGAAAATGTCAGGCTCTATTTAATTTTTTAAAAAGGTTCTTACATTTATCCTTAAAACTTGCACTTTTGAGTGGTGATAGTGCATGTCTTAAGGATATTTAATATAATTCAAGTTTTTTTACTGATTGAAGTTGAACAAGGAGTGTGCTCTCAAGTTGCAGCAAGCAAAATTTAGGTTAGATATTATAAAAAACTCTCTCACTAGGAGGGAAGTAAAGCTCAGGGACAGGCTACCCCAAGAGGTTGTGGACTCTCCATCCTTGGAAGTTTTAAAGACCCAGGCAGACAAAGCCTTGGCTGGGATGATCTAGCTGGGGATGGTCCTGGTTTGAGTAGGGGGTTGGACTAGATGATCTCCTGAGGTCCCTTCCAACTCTAATCATTTCTATGATTTGAAACATGGAAGATAGCAACATTAATGGAAAGACCAATGGCAACAGCTAGTGGTTACAACTGGTAAGTGCGTAACACCCATAAGAAAGGAAATAGTGAAGAGAAAAAGGAAAGGAGATCAACGATGTCCTGTACTTATCCTACAGAATAATATGCATATAAGTTGGAGCCTGGTCAGCCCTATATCGTGGAGCGCAGAGTGGAGCTGGAGATCTCACTGGCAGGACTGTGGACTGAAGGAACGTAACTCAGACTTGGGGGGCAGCTGCAGGCTGCTGTTTGAGCACTCTAGAGACTAAAGGCTTGTTTGGAGGCCCCTCCAGAGGTGTGGGAGGGAAATTAAGGTAAAAGGTTTCTTTACCTTTTTACCTGTTCCCTTCCTTTGACCTGTCAGCTTGTGACCCTAACCCCTATGATTTTCTATGTGGAAGTGGGAACTTCCCCCTTGTTCTTGTGTCAGTTCCTGGGGCTGCAGGGTTGGCACAACTGGATGTGGTTTCTTTCCCCACAGCAACAACGTGGTGTTGCTGGGGCTTCAGTCATGACAGAGAAAGCAAACTCCTATCACTCACGAGGGAGAGAGAATACACCAGTGGTTTTCAACCTTTTTGAGACTCAAGGCACCCCTTGCTAAATGCTGCCCCTTTGTTTTTCCCTCTTTTGCATACAGAAAAATAGGTCAGCTTTTTTTTTCTACTGAAAAGACAACAGACCTCCGCCGGTATTTCTATTTGAGATCCCTCCTGGGTTTATTCTGTGGATTGTGCTGGGACCCCTGAGAGGCAGTGGTGCCAGGTGTGCCCCTCGAGAGACTCTCAGGCCAACCTGGTGGAGAATCCCTGGCACCCACCGTGACATTTGGGCGCCCAGCTTCTCCCTGGGAGGCAGTGTTGCCAGGTGTATGGTAATTCTTGCATTTGTTCAATAACTTTAACCCTCATACAATGTACGATCAGCAACAGTAAAAGTGTTCAAAACGTATGGCATTTTTGGAGGCAGCTAATTGATGCAGCGCACCAAAACCCAAGTCACTGTTGGGGAATCTTAACTGACTTTTGAGTTTGCTGTCAGCACTTTCGTATGATTGCTTGCCTCAGAATGACAAAATCTTTCAACTTTGATGACCCACTTCTCCCTCACTCAGTGGCAACTTATAAGGAGCAATCTAAAGTATGTAAGATAACTTATACACGTCTTTTTTCAGTGTGCGATACCTTTTCAGAAAATACAATTATTTTGAGCTTCCAATACGAGTTATGTAAAGCTCTTGGGCGATACCTTTTATTAGATCAACAAAATAGTAGCAAAAACCATTCCTTTCTTTGCAAGCTTTTGGGCACATACACCCTTCTTCAGGCTGAGGAGAAATTAAAGCTTGTAAAAGTCCTCGTCGGTAGAAAAGAAACTCCATTTTGCACAGGGGCGGTACCCAGGGGAATAAACGTCCACCCCCAATCTCAGAGTCCTTTTGTGCAGAGCGAGGTGCAGATTTGGTGGTCTTCTCCTCTGGAGGTGCCCCATGCCAGAGGCAGACAGGCAGGTGAGACCCCGTGAAAGAAAGTGAGCGAGCGAGTGAAACCGCGGGCCGGGCCGGCTCTCTGCAGGCCCGTGAGGGCGGGACACAGAAGACTACATCTCCCAGCGCTCCGCCAGCCCCGGGGCAGGATCCGCTCGCTTCCTGTCCGCGCAAATCCTCTCACCGCTGCGGCCGGGGCCTGTGCGGGAGCTCGGGACAGGGACAGGGACAGGGACAGGGGCATGGCCGGGGCCGGGGCGGAGGCGCGGGTGCAGTGCCCAGTGTGCGCGCTGGAGCTGCCCGCCTCTCACATCAACGCGCACCTGGACGGCTGCCTGCAGGGCGCGGGGCCGGAGCCCTCCTGCAAGAAGCCGCGCCTGGCGGGGGCCGGCCCAGGCGGGAGCCCCGGCCCCGCGGCGCTGAGCGGGGACAGCCTGGCGCAGAAGCTGGAGGGGAAGCCGCTGGCCGACAAGCTGCGGCCCGGCAGCCTGGGCGAGTACGTGGGACAGGACCAGGTGGTGGGCGAGGACACGTTGCTGCGCTCCCTGCTAGAGAGCCGCGAGGTGCCGTCCCTCATCCTCTGGGGGCCGCCCGGCTGCGGCAAGGTGAGTGCCGGCCCGGCCCTTCTCTTCTCCGCCTATGGATGGATGTGTGTGTATATGTAGGGGTGCTGGGTGTAGCCGCGTTGGGCCAGGGACATGGGCAGGCAAGGGTCTTTGGGTAGATGTGATCTCTGATACAGACAGTCCTCGGACTTGCCACACAATTGGTTGAATGGAAAACGGCGTGGAAATGTAACTGGTCTTAAGTCGAAACATTGTAACTCACAGACTCCACCTCCTAAGTCGAAAGATAACTCGAAACACTTCTTTGAGGTGACTTTGCTGGACGTTTTGAAGGGCTCTTGGTTGGACTTTTTGAAGGGTTCTTGGCTGGAGGCTTCTCAGGAGACTTGGCTGCAGGTTTTTTTGGAGTCTCGTCTGCTTTCTTAAAGAAAGTGTCAGAGGAAGTTTGGACAGATGTTCTCCAGGGAGATGGGCAACACAGTGAACTGATGTCATAGTGTTGAAACTGGGCCCAGGTCAACCGCCCCCGGTTCTGCTCGGAGGGCTTGCTGGGTGCCAACCCTGGGGGCCTTGCGTACCTGCCGGGACCCTTTAAATAGCCCTGGCCTTCCCTGCCCTCAGGCAAGTCACCAGGGCGAAGCTGGATTTGTGTCCCGGCTTCTGGAACTGTCGCCCAGCTTGGCCTGCCGGATTGGTCCCCTTCCGGACCTCCAGGTTGACATGGCCTCGTGGAAGGCTGCCCGTGCCCCTGCCACCCCGGCCCAGGTCAACTGCCGCCCGGTTCCGCTCGGAGGGATTGCTGGGCGCCGACCCCGGGACCCTGCGTGCCTGTCAGGACCCTTTGGGATAAACGTTGTAAGTCGAGGACTGCCTGCATTTAGTTGGTCTAATAAAAGAGATCACATCTACCCAACAAACCTTGCCTGCCTATGTATGTAGATACATACACTTGCACCTTATAAACCATCTCTGTGTATGTGTGTGTACATCCCTTATAGATCAGCTAAGGCAGTAGTACTCAACCTTTTGCACCTTACATCCCACCAACCATTTTGTCAAAAAACCCTGGTCCCACCAAGATAAGACCAAAGCCCCCCAAAATTGCACTGTTTGTGATATCTGTTGATTCATCTATCTGAGATGCAAACAACTGATTTTTTTCAATCAGGCAATGGGTTGAAGTCCCACCTATGTGACTGAGTCCCACCAGTGGTACCTGTCCCACTGGTTGAGAAACACTGAACTTAGGCATATGTGTGTGTACACACAAACACATACATACATGTGTATGCACGCACACATACAGATTTATCACCTTATAGATCAACTAAGGTATGTGTGCATGTATGTATATACAAACACAGTTTTGTACCTTATAGACCAACTAAGGTACATACATGCATGTAAACATACATACGCGTGCACACACACCCATACATGCCCACTTACGTTTGCACCGTATGGATCACCTAAGGGGGGTGTGTGTGTGTGTGTGTGTGTGTGTGTGTGTGTGCATATATACACACATACACATCTGCACCTTACAGAATAACTAGGATATGTGTGTATATGTGTGTCTATGTATACACACACATTTGCATCACCAGTGTGTGTGTGTAGTACTTTGGTGTGCATGTATAGTACTTTTGTGGGCTAAATCTCACTATCCGATGCTGTGAAAAGATGTGCAGGGAGCTGTGTATAAGAAAAAGGGAGAGATTGCTGTTCCTCTGTTTAAGCAAGTGTTGTATTACTAGGAGGTGAGAGTTCTGCTCTCTCCTTGGGCTCAGTCCACCAAATCAAATCCCAAATCACCCAGCGATGTCAACAGACTAAAGAAATCACAACGTTTTCATTTTTGAATTTCAAATGAAAATGCAGTATGTGGAAACTCAAATGCTGTACTGAAGTTTTCAAAGTCTTTTTGTGGGGTTAAAAAAATAAAAACTTCTATCTAAACTATCCAGTCCTTTTTAGTTCCTTAGTCTTGTTTCCATCCAGTGATTTTTCCTGTTTTTTTTTCCTTTTGACTAATTTTGTCCATCATCTCAGTTTTGTTTTCCCCAGGGAGAAATGTTAGCAGATACTATATCTAATTTAGTTTCAAGTCTTAATTCTAAGCTCCATATGCCAGATAAAATAGTCATAAGTGAAAGCTTAGGTGTTGAAATAGGAATAGAATTAGACACCTTCTATATTCAGAAGTGATATGTAAGGTGGTGTAAATTAGACTCCCTTATTTACATTCACTCCATCCATGTCTGACGCGGTCTCGTTGTTGCTACCCAATTTAGGCCTTCTTCCAGTTCTAGAAGATTTTTCTGGATGTTTCTATAAGACACTTAACCATTATGAAAGTATCAATTAAGAAGTTTTCGGAGGATCCCTATCTTGATTACAGGAATAGTAAACTGAATAAAAGCAGTTTTGCCCAGTACCAGACAAACCAAGCTGAATTTATCTCTGACTGAATTTATATGTTTAAGGGAGCAATGAGGCCAAAAAGTACCTTTGTGATGGATTTTTTTCCTTTCAAGTTTCACTAATGCTGAAAAATCTTCATAAACCAATATATTCTTTAAACACCGCATCTTTTAAAATCGTGTTTTCTCTGTTGGGCTTGGTTAGATCAGCGGTTCTCAACCTTTTGCACCTTATCTCCCACCAACCATTTTGTCAAAGAAACCCTGGTCCCACCATGATAAAAACAAAAACCCACTTTTCCAAGAAGTGTATTTTTACATTTACATGCATTTTAGTATTATATTAATCATTAATGGAAATTTTCAAATGAGAAATTCTCACCTACACAACCTTCGTGTTCCACTGGTTGAGAAACACTGGTTTAGATCACAGACATAAGCCTGTCTGTTTCTTCATCTGCTCTATCTCCTGATTTTTTCTATGAAGACAGAAAGATATTGATGGTCTTTCTTTGATTCCTTATTTTTGGTTATAATTTATGCAAAATTTATAGCACATATACTATGCATATATGCTATGTAAATGTCATAAGAAGCTGAGTAGACAGGGCCTGTTTAGAGAGACTGTCTCAAAGGAATGGTTGTCCACTGCCAGTATGTTTCCCTTGACTCTGCAAATTTAAAAAAAAAATAAAAAGGCCTTTCAAATGTAAGCAGTGGTCCAGCTGCTTAAATCCCTAGTTTGCAATATGAGAAAGCTATGCTATGCTTTATGATACTTTAATGTGGGGATTTAGATTTTTGCTTGTCTGCCACGGGACATCCAATTTTAGTAAAGAGACATCAGGGGAACCATCTACAGCAGTAATTTAAGCACAGAGGGTGCAGCTACACATGCACTTTACTCCTGAGTTGACTAATTAGCTCTGTAATAAAGCATCACTGTTTACACGTGTGGCAGTATTAGGGTGCAGTAAGTTGCTCCATGATACAATAGGACTTACTATCCTACAGTGGAGTAATTACATGTGCTGAAACACAAGTATAGATGGCGACAGGTTGTCTGGGGCATGAGAGTGCTAAAGTGTGGGGGCTGCCTGTTGCCTTAATGGCACATGTAGGTGCACCTAGAATAACTTTGCACCCACAGATTCATTGAGCTTCAGACACCTAAACAATTTTTAATTTAAGTATGGTAATTATCCTCTTTTTCTGTGCAAGCCATTTTAACCAGTGGGAAGAAATAAGTGCATAGGTGAGTATTTAGGACAGTATTGCTTGTAAAGTTGAGGGCAAAGAATACCCTCCTATTAGTCCTTAAGTTTGTTTGTGGAATCCCATACTAAGTTAAGGTATGTAAGGTTGACAAGAATGCCTAATATCAAAACACAACTTGTTCATGCAGTTTGTTTTTAAATTTCTTTAGATTTATTTATTTTTAATCTTTTTCAAAATTTGCTCTCTGTGCGTTTTCAAAACTTCATTGTGGCAAGATGCACAAAATCTTAGCAGATGGAGTTTTAGATAGCTTGGGCATACAATTTGCCATTATAGATTTCCCTCTGGTCCCCCACCAAAAGAGTTTGAGTGACTATCTGAATTAGTTACATTTTATGTGCTCCTCCTTGTCCCCTTTTTTAATCACTTTTGGGTGCTTGGTCTAAACCCCATGGATGCTATGGGAGTCCATTAACTCCAGTGAGATTTTAACTAAGAATCCAAGTTGGTTAATATTTCATCAGAGAGCTGAAAATCAGAAGTCTTTCCATAGCTGCTTATCTCTGCAGCTATTTGGAAATAGATTCCAAATATAATGGGCTAAATTCCTATTTATACTGGTGTAAAAACAGGAGTGATTGGTGGAAGTAAGATTAGGAATCAGTCTATTGTGCTTCTTAAAGCAGGCTGAATACATGTCCAGACCTGTTTTAAGACATTTACTACAGTAAATGTAATACTGTGGCCTTGGCCCTTCTTACGCCTGATTTGCTTTGGGTTCTTTGGTTTGCTTTGGCTACATAAGTAGTGTCAGCCTGATTCTCTACCTTACATGCTGTAGGCTACTCACATACAAGGTGAGTAATAGTAGAATGCTGTTCTTTCATAAATGTCATCTGTTACCATTTTTGCTTTAATTATTGACCACCCATCTCCAGTGCCTCTGATTCTTATTCACCACACACCCTGCCACCTTCTTCTAGTCAGGTTGACCCATGAGAGAATGAGGTAGTACCAGGCCAGGTCAACAAGGTAGCTGTGAAGAGGCATAGCTTATCTGGGATAGTTAACTCATCCCAAGGAACTCTTCTCCTGGCTGATGTCCCAGACTATTGGCAGCATAGGCGTCTGTAGCAGGGCTGTGAAGTGAACTCAGAAGCTCCTTTCCTGGATGTTCAGCAGCCTCTAGGCCCAGTGGCTGCCTCTCAGTAAAATGGCACTGTTTGCCCCTGCTGGGCTCAACAGCAAGGGCTGAAGATGAGAAGCAGCTGTTGGGTCCAGTGGTATGTAAGCAAAGAAGTGGGAGTGCTGGCCAGAATACAAGGTGGGGAGAGATAGGAAAAGGAAGGTGCAAACACTGTAAGAGAGTTGGGGGAAGCAAAAAGAAGATGTGGTCCCAGTTCAGAGTCCTTTTTGTGATATTCAAGGTCCTAGATCTGTCTGAGCAACTGTGTTTCTTCTATAGGTGGTGCAAGGTGATGCACCTGGGGAGGAAGAACCAGCAGCATACCTACAGGCTGGGGAACTCCCTTCTCGTCAGTGCAGTGGCAGAAAAGGATCTTGGAGTCATCATTGCCAAGATGAACAAGGGGATGCAGTCAAGAAGGCCAACCATACCTTGTCATGCATCCACAGTACTTTTTCCTGCCAAGGCAGGGGGTTGGACTTGATGATCTGCTCGGGTCCGTTCCAACCCTACAAACTATGAAACAAACTATGAAACTATAACCATCACCTCTGGCTCCAGTTATGCTTTGCTAGAATAGTGATTCTCAGTCGGGGTGTAGTGAGATCCTTTAAAGGGTGCTGCTCAAGGTGTGTGAACACTTACACATGATTCACAAGATAAACCTAGAGCAGGGGTGGGCAAAATACAGCCTGGGGGGTGGATCTGGCCCCAGGCCATTCTATTCAGCCTGCAGGGCCCCTAAAAAATTTAGAAAATTAATATTTATTAGTTCCTGGCAGCCTGTCAAAGATGACAGGAGCCAGGGGCATTAGTACCCAGGGAAATCCAGCGGCAGGACCTAGCAGCAAGGCCCACACAACCCTGCCCCCTCAACCAGAAGCCTCTGCCTAGCAGAGGCTTCTGGTCTCAGACTGGGGCTGTTCCTGCTTCCCTGCAGTGGAGAGGGAAATGTGACCCTCAATAGCTTACCAAAACTCGGTAAGTGACCCTCTGCCCAAAATAATTGCCCACCCCTGACCTAGAGAGACAGAATTCCATAGTGTCAAAAACGTTCTGCTCTGCTGTGGTCTCTCTGAGTTCTTTGCAGCAGAAGAATTGCTCTATTACTTCTCTGCAGTCTGAAAAAATGAGTGAGAGCTAAGAGCTGGTATTTTCTGAGGGGTGCCTTGGGTGCTTATACATGTGCTCTGACATGTTCTAATTAAAATGCATCGGAGCAGATTTAATTGAGTCTGCTCTGTGTTCTAATTAAAGCACTCTAGCATTGCTGCAGCATCACATATATAAGCCTCTACAGGTTTACAAATGGCTGCTGGGTCTTGAAATGAGCTTTAGTTAAAGCATCCCGCATCCAGTCTTAAACGTGGGGGCTTAATACATGTGACACTGAGGGGTTTTAATTAGAGGGGCTCTCTGGGAACTGCTCTAATTAAAACGCTCTCTCCTTCCACCTACCCCTGAGTGCATGTATAGGCAGGCACCCGTTGAGTCTAGCAAGGGTTGGTGAGACTAAAGACCTTGACAACTGCTGTGCTTGGGAAATGGCACTGGTCTTGGCTAGGGGAAGACTCTGTGAGTGTAGCAAATGGAATTTCTGCAGGAAATTAGCCTAGGCTCTGGGACTTGCCTGCTTGAGGGACACCACTTGTGATAGTGGCATGTTACTTAATTAGGCAAGTATTACTGAAGAGTGTGTAATAACCTCCCCCTTTGATAGAGCTTTCCCATAGCAAGGGCTGTATGTACACTGAAAAACAACAGTCTTTTCAAATAATTCACTTCTGTTTCCTGAAAAGGAAGAGAAAGGGAGATGGTGTTCTTGTTTTCTTTTACTATTTGGAATGCATTTGGATGATATGGTAGTCACAAGTATAAACAGTTTAGGAGAAATGGGGCAGAAATGAACCCAACACTTTATTTCCATGTGGGTCAGAACATAGAAGGTTGGTATCACTTTAGCAAACTCTAAACTTCAATTTTCTAAAAGGGATTTTAAATGCATTTCTTCTGAGTTTCATTTCTTCTGCTTTAGATGAATGAATGAATTTCCATGCTGCAACTGAAATAGCATTCTGTTCCTTACTAGTTTTAAACCAGGGAGGTAATATGTGCTAAATATTTTGAAGCTTTCTGGCCATACAAGGAATACTGATTTGTTGACTAAAGTATTAGTTCTAGTTGATAGGTAGAGTAGTTCTCTGAGAGCAGAGTAGTATTTGCTGTAGGGATGCTTTTACTTCTTAATAACTTGCTGGTTATTCATACTCACTGGATGTATCTGTCTAATTTTCATGTTTTTTGACACCACTTGGGATAGTGGAATGTGATTTAATTAGGTAAAATAAGAAGTTCATTCCACCAGGTTTTTTATATTTGAAAGATGTCGCCTACAGCCAGAGTGAGTTCTGTGCAACCATCTGATGTGGAGAGGCTGAGGGAACAAAGGTCCTTTTAGGAGGGAGGAGGGAGATTTGGAGAGCAGGTATCATGTGCTTGTTGGGTTGGGGGTTTTTTTGTGCCTACTTATTCACAAGGAAGTGAATCAATGGGAAATACACATTTCTGTAAATAAAAGTATTTCCTATTTTTTGACTGGGATGGTTGGTCCCTGTATTTTTTACATACTTCTTGGTGGATATACATCAATGAATCTCAGAAGCACCTTTTCAAAGGGCATTCTTGAAACCTGGCTCAGCTGACATTTGGAACTGAAGGAATAGGGTGACTGACCCATACAGATCAGATAAATTGGAGTGAAGGAAGTGAACTCAAAACTATTTTTTTCTGTTCACCTCTGTAAGTTATGATGTGTTGAATTTAGCAGGATAGACTTCAGATAATTTACTGCAATATTCTCATTGATGCAGATACCTTGAATTCAGTGGGCGTGAGAACATGATCTACTGCAATATTCTCGTTGATGCAGATACCTTGAATTCAGTGGGCGTGAGAACATGAGCTAAACAAGAAATACCTGTATATCATGGCACTATGAGGAAGTAAAGTATCATCTTAAACCTCTTTCTGCTTATTGCAGTGGCTTTTGATTGGGAAGTTTTTTCTTTGGAAGTTGAATTTATCAGGTGATAATGTCACTGCCTTCCACACCAGTACTCTGGTGTAGCTTTCCTTTTAAGCATCTCTGGTGGAAAGCATCTGAGCAGAGCAGAACAGACTGCTTACAGTATTCTGGTATAGTTTTGTTGAGCATTCCAACAAGGCAACGAATATTTCTTATCAATTTTCTCTGTCCCCCATTGTTTTCTAACCAGGGATCCTGGTTTTCCCTTGTTTAAAAAAAAGTCCCAAATTTTCTGATTTAAAAAAAGGTAAAATAAAAATAAATAAAACACCATATGTGTGTGCGTGTGTATATATAATGTTTGTGTGTATATATATGTGTATATGTGTGTGTGTAGTGGTTTCATTTTAATCAACCCAAAATCCACATTTTTCCATGATTTTACATACATGCACACGTATACATGCACACACTCTAGTGGTGTTTCATTTTAATCACAAAAAAATGTGGATTTTGGGTTGATTAAAATGAAACCACTATAGATATAGATATATGGTGGTTTCATTTGATTTATTTATATATTAGTGGATTTTGGGTTACTTTTTTTAATAAAAAAAATTGTACTTTTTTATCAGAGAAAACCAGGATCTCTGCTTCTCAGAGGTGAACTCCAGAAAATAATGGGCTGAAGAAAGAGATGTAAATCTGGGACATGAGATGGTTGTAGAACATCAGACATAGTTGCAGTGGGGCTTTTATTTTACCTTGTCGCTGTCCCTGTGCTTGTTTGGGCAGGTAAGGATGGGAGACACAGATGAAGAGAAGAGGCAGTAAAGGAAAAGAATACTGCCTTTGTAGGAGTCACTAGGTGCCTGCCAGCGCCACAAGGAGCTGTCTGATAGGTAGTGGTTTCCATAGCTGTCCCAAGAGGATCAGGTTCAGTGCATCTGCTGTATTAATCTTGTCTTTTGGAATATCATCCCAAATAGACTTTGGCCTGGCCAGCACCTGCCCTCCTTATCAGCTGCTAAGGCGCTGCTGTCTTCAGCTTCCTTGAGCTAGGTTCTTAACGGAAACACAGGCAGCTGAATACTCATCCCCTTGTAATTCTTCAGCACAGCTGCCTGCTCTATTTGGGGCTTACCAGTATGCATACCGTTTATAGAGGAAGTGAAGGTGGGTTTGAAAAATCCCTATGCTCAAGCATACATACTCAGATTAGGGTGTCTGTGCTTACAGGGTGACCCTACACTCTGTTCCAATAATAGAGTGAGTGCAATAAAATCTATATGTAAATACTGATAGGAGAAGTGTTTGGTATAGAAAAGGGTTGGAGAGAAGAAAATATAACAGTTGCCCTGTACAAGTCAGAAGTTTGTCTAGCATGCAGCAGATGATTGTGTTCCATTTATCTGGGCTGGGTTTTGGTTGATTAGGATATGTTGTTTAGCTTATATAAAGAAAAATCTTTTAAAATCTTTTCTTTATATCTTTTCTTTATTGACTGCCTCAGAATACAATGGATAACTACTTTTTGCTTAATACTGTTATTTGATTATTTCCCTTGCAATGGGAATAACGCATTGTGATTGAATTTAAACAAACGTGTCTCAAATACTGCCTACTTTTACTACAAGGTTTTTCGTACCAGCAGCTGCATAACAAAAACACGCGGCAACATCCTTTAAAGAGGTTCAGAAGATATTGTCTTCTGTAGCAACAGCACACTTGAAGGGAGGGGGGGAGTCTTTTCTTCAGTGGGCAAAGAAAACAGCTGTCACCAAAGCTGTGCTAAATCAGGACACATGACCCTTTCTAACCCTTATACCATAGTATGTCTTACACTTTAAGTGCAGTCCTATGAAGTGCAAGACAGGGGCTGGCAGACACCTGTAGCAGAATATTTTAATGTCTGCCCTGTGCTACAACAAAATGAACCAAAACATCTTATTCTCTAAAGTGTCAACACGGTTGCCAAGTCCAGAATATATGACCATCCTCTTTGCTCCTTTTCCTTAGACAAATTATATCTGCATCTACAGCCCTTTCTAAAAGCTACCTGTCTTCTTTCTTTTAGACTACACTTGCACACATCATAGCCAACAACAGTAAGAAAAATGGCATAAGGTTTGTGACGTTATCAGCAACAAGTGCTAAGACAACTGATGTCAGAGAGGTCATCAACCAAGCCCAGAATGAAAAGAGACTCTTCAAAAGGAAGACCATTCTCTTTATTGATGAAATTCACCGTTTCAATAAAGCTCAGCAGGTATTGTACCACTTGAGCAGCAGGGAAAAAACCTCTGTTACATGTCGTTTTGCCTGAAGTGAACCTCTGTACAAAACGATGATGTTTCTCTTATCTGGTAGACCTCTGCCCACCAAGAGAAATCTTTTTCACAATGATAATGTTGCGCTGTTCTCCAACAAAGCAGGCATACCTGTTTTCATTTTTTGTGTGAGTGCAGTGAGGGGAGAGAGAGAGAAATCATAAAATTGTTTAGGGGTAATACATCATCACACTCAATGTGCATTTTTCCTCCTTATGCATCATTTCCTTTATTCTTATTCATGGAAGTTTTTATTAAGTACTGCAGTTAGGAAATTTCAGACATCCCCACGGAAAAGTTCTCCAGAAACGGATAGGCATGAAACCAGTTGAAATAAGCTTCTATATATTTTTTCTTAAAACCTATAAAATATAATAGAAACTGCTATTCTGTTTCTGTAGTTCCTTGAGCCTTTCTGTAGAATCTCTTACAATTCCAAAGCCTGGTACAAAGAATTACAGAATTAACCTTACTGTTCGTTAGATTCTTTTGCACTTTTCCATTTAGGCAGTTCTTTACAGTACCTGTTATCTGCCAAAGAATAACCTGCAGTCACATGAGTTAACCGCAATAACCTGCCCTTTCCCAGTGCTGTTTTTTTCAGCAGTGTGTTCATTTTTGGTGAAAACACAGGTTATTAAGAAGGTCAGCCACACGTGTACAATGTAAATGAAGTGAATTCACTTAGGAAGCTGGTAGCTGAGGTGCCTTATTAGTGAGTCATAGGGTATATCACCTTTGAAATCTGGAGAACTGCAACACATGAAAAATATACTTGAAAATGCCATATAACCATATTCTATATAACCTACTTACCCAGTATGCTTCAGGTTGTCACTGATTGGGGTCACTTTCTTTTGTTTGCCTCCCATATCCAGGACACTTTTCTTCCTCACGTTGAGTGCGGAACTGTGACGCTGATTGGGGCAACCACAGAAAACCCTTCCTTCCAGGTGAATTCTGCTCTTCTGAGTCGATGTCGTGTTATTGTTCTTGAGAAGATCTCAGTGGAGGCGATGGAAGCAATTCTGATGCGGGCTGTCAGGTCCCTGGGGATCCAGGTTTTACGCCAGGATGAACAACACACTGACACTGCAAGTGGCAGTGATAGCAAGAGCTCAGAGTAAGTACTTGGGGGACTGCAGTGCGTTAACACTGACAGCCCGAAGGATCTGTTGACAGACTGCTTGAGGGAGGAAGTGTTGCGGGGGTGTGGAAAAATATTAGCCGCTTCTAATGGTAAAGAACAGAAGTAGCTGCATAGGAAGAGAGGGAATACAAAGCATCAATTGCTGGTGCATTCAAAAAATTATCCTGCTGTTTGGATTAGGACAGTGTTTTATACTTGGATTGGTAGCTTCTGACTCATCCGTAGGATATGTAAATCTGTTATGCAGCTGAAGATTTGCTTTGGAAGCCTGTTCTAGCCAATAACTTTTTGTTATTGGTTGTGAAAGCATCATATTACTGTGAAATGGTGGATAGGACATCCCTGTTACTTATCTTAGGTCCACCAAGCAAAAAAAAAAGCTGTAACCTTATACTGCAAATTAATTCCATGCCACGGGATTTTTTTTCTTTTACTGTGTGAAGCAAATAAAATATTAAAAAATAGTTCTTGAATCCCTCTTCTAATTGTCAAAATTAAGCCAATTGAAATAAAAGCACACAAGTATTTTAGAGAACTTGGAAAAACTACTGTGAAATTTCCCTCTGGACTTCATATTTATTATAATATTTTCCTGTCTCTTCCCCACGATCAAAATTATTTTCTATTTATCATTTTTTTAAATGGGCAACTAATGAATCAAAATAATACAGAGTGTAGTTTTAATTTCATGTGGGTTATTTCAGTTGCTTTCCTAGTAGTTCTTGTATATCAAAATTAAAATCCGTCATATAAAAATGAGTGACGGTACAAGAGTACCAGTTTAAGCGGTGGACAAGAAATACCACTAGGGAATGCTTTTTGTCTTGTAGTTTTATCATGCAACATGAAATTCCTAACTAGATTGTACATGTTAGGGCACTGAATGAGGGGCTTCTGTTACCTTATTTAGGGCATCATGCCTGACATTGCTTACCCGCTTGCAGCTTTTATACTGCACTGGGATATGTTGGAGGAAGGCACTGCTGCATGTCAGTGTTAATGTAATAGCACAGCTGTGTTTGCAGCTACAACCCGACTGGGCTTCCAAGACTCTCCTTTTTGTATGGGATTAAAGAACAAGGCATAGTTTAAGTTGTATTTTATAGGGAGAGTCAAGCAAAACATAAGCCCTTTCTGAAACCTTCTACTAGCCAGGGATGATTTAAGTAGCAAAATGTGTTCCTTAATCAGAGAGCTCAAAGAAGCCTGGCAAACACTGTCTGACTATTTCAGTGCTATAATTCTCTCAGTAATGAAAAAAAATGGGACCTGATGTTTTAGAAGTACAGCTAAAAATCAAGCTTTGAAAAGGTTTTTCCCTTTCTTTTGTTTCCTGCCATAGTCTGCTTGTCATCTGCTATTGACATATATTGAGGGTGGTGGTGGTGGTTAAAAAATCTTTTTTTATCCACTTCCCTTCAGTCCATATTGTCCCTTACATCTGGTTTGCTTTTCTGTGTTCCCAGCAAATCCTTCTTCCCTCATTCCTCCCACTTCAGCTGCTTTCATTTTATTTCTGGCTGTCATTCTCCTCCATCAGCAATTGCAGCAGTCTTCTTTTCCTTCCCACTGCAAAAATACAGCTAGGATTAGATGCAACCACCTGATAGTTCCTCATGATCTTCTGGGGAATAAATGCACAAGCCTCAATTGCTTTAGGTACGGCCGCAGGGGATTCAGGGTTCCTTTTCTTTTCTTTTTCTTTTTCTGAAGGAGAATTCCCCATTTCACATTTCAGTGGATGGGACACTGCATTAACAAATGTATGTACTGCGTGGTCTCATTTCATTAGATACTCTTGATATAATGCATGGTGTTCCTTTTGGACTCTAAGGCCACATGCACATGAGCATGGACATTTGTTTCCCTTGAGAAAAGAAGCAGCGGCACACCTAATGCCTTTGCTACTTGTCCCCGGGGAACACCTGTGCCACATGCCCTCTGGCATGTGGCAGGTTACCCCAGGTGGGGTAGGGGAGGCTGAGGCCAGCACTGAGCAGGTCCTGGCAGCTGTACCTGGGGTCCTGGGGGCCTCCTGGGGCTGCAGCAGCAGGAATCCTGGTATTCAGAGCCTGGGTGAGCTCAGAGCTGGCTCTGGTTTTGGGTGGCACATATTGTCCCCGTGTGTGCCGCCCCACTTTTTTTTTTTTTTTGGCACAGATTTTTTTGACCCCAGGATCTCCTGGGTCAACCCCTCCCACCCCATGCTGCTACCTTGCAGCACAGAGAACATCACATACCGCACAGCCATACTCATCTGAGCATAGCCCAAGAGAATGTCCTCTCTGCAGACACAATGAAGACTAGATCCTCAGTTGGTGAAAATCTCCCTTAGTTTCCCAAGCAGTGTTATGCTATGGATGGACTCAGCCTTCACCTATGTGGTGCTGGTTTTTATAGTCTATAAAAATTGTGTTGATTAAACCTTTTTTCCTTTGGTCTCAAGCCTTGTGTGTCATTTTAGAAAGCTTATTGAAATATATCCTCCAACTCTTCTGCAGACACAGGAGTTGAGGTTCAAATGTGTTGTAACGTAGTCAAAGTTCCCTGTTTTGCCTTTCCATTTTATACGGAACTAATTTAGTTCTAAAGAAAGAAATGTGTGCTTAAAAATCAATGTTATGATATGGCTCCCTGTTGAGAAGGGAGTCTAAACCGGTGCCACTTGTTCAGGGTCTGAAAAAGGTATTCAATTGCACATTAAGGACTATTTATGCCCTAGTGTTCATTGATTCTTTTTTTACTATTATTTCCTCCTCCAGCTCTCCTGCACATAGTTTACATTCACTTAGACTCCTCACACCTGCCATGTTTTTTTCACCATTTGATGTACTCCTCAGAATTTAGCTTGACAGCAGTTTTGAATAATACCATATTTACTCAAAGTTTTTTCTCCCTATTCTACATGAAGGGGTGCAGCTTATCTTGGATTTGAATATGAGATGACGGCAGGCAGCTGCTGTGGCTCTGACTGCAGCCCTGGCCTAGGCTCATGGTTGGAGCCAGGGTCGCAGCCTTCTGGCCTCCTGGTGCCTGCTTCTGAAGCTTCCAACCCCCCATAGCCTCTTCCCCCTGACTCTACTTTGCGTCAGGGCTTGGATCTGACTCAGGGCATGGGACACGTGGCTCCAGTTCTGGTCCTGGCCCAGCAGCAGCAGCAGGGGAAACAAGAGTGTGTGTTTGGGATGGAGTAGAAGGCCCCCTGGCCCCACCGCCTGCCCCCCTGCCACTGCTTTCTCCACTGGAGCAGTGGGAAGGATGAATTTAAGATGACCCTGCAATAATTAGATTGTATGCATGGAATATTATAACAACTTTGTCATTTTCCATGTGTAGAATCTAATTACTGGGAGGTTGACTGAAATTCAAAGTTATCTTGGATTTGGATCAATATAGGAGCTGGGATTTAAATGGGTTCTGTGATGGAAATATTGTCACGGCTTCGCATTTTTAAAAGAATTGCCCTCTCCCTGTAGTTTTCCTTCACTTCAGTCAGTATACCACATTGATATTCAGTAGGTAATAGATTCCATGGTATCTGTTCCTTTTTTTTATATTTTGTCTCCCAAGTATCTTTGAGTGCAGATCATCCAGTATGTTTTGTGTTTAATGTTGGAAGCAACCAAAATACTAAGCGAGCATGAACTTGCTGATGCATCAGAAAACAAGAGTGGTTTTCCTGTCTTGAAGCCCTGAAGGCGGGTAGAATAAGAGTAATAGTCTAAAGATTAAGAATGGATCCAAACTTATGAATGTCAGATAGGATCTTGCTTGCTGAAACAAAGTTAGCAAATGCACTGTAAATGAAACTATAATTTGGTGTCCCTGGTTTGCTGGTAAAGTATTCTCTTAAATACAGTATAAATTCTTAAAACATAAAAAACCAAAAGATGCTCTTCCTGAATTAAAATTGTTTCCACCAGGATGTGTGTTCTTTTTATACTGAGGTTTTGTGTGTGAATGTGTACTTGAAAAGATTGACTGTCCTGTATCATAAACATGACTTTTCCATGCACGGTAGCTTCTTTGCTTATGTCTGTTTTATCTCCGGTTTTGTATGCAATAATAGTTGGGTTTTTTTTAAAAATAAACATGGATTTTAAAAAAGCTTTTAAGCATATGTGGGGAAGAATAGTGTATCTTTTTCTAATTTTTTATGCGCACACCTTTTTGAAGTTCTTTTCCCTTACTTCCTTGCCTATGCTCTTAGTGCCCTGTTTTTTAAGTCTTGTTAATGGCTTCTGAAATGCCTTTTCCTGAAAATAGAGAGAACACTGCCACTGGGTTACTTTTGGAGTTTACCAGTGAACCGTACATAATTTTGCAATGGACTGGGTGAACTTAATTATTAGTAAGCTCTTTGAAATGGTGATTATTTGGTCTTGCCAAGTAAAATAGCAAATGTCATTAGCTCATAATAAACAATGATGGAGGTGAAGTAAGAACTTGACTTACAGTACAGTTTGAATTTGCAGAAGTTCCACTTGAAATTTTGAAATGTAAAGTGACTGTTGGGTCAGATTTGGCATAGTGTTGCTTTTAATGTAAATAATACTACTAAAAACCTATAAAGCTGCATTGATTTCAAAACACTCTACAAAGAAAAACAAGGATTATTATTTCTGTTGTTACAATAGAGCAGGTATAATCACTTATTTCATGAAGTGAGGTGCAAAGAAGGTTAAGTTCCATTCAGTGAGTCAGCAGCAAACACAAGGGTATAATTCAGCTCTGTTGTTGTGTTATATATTGATTTATCTGTTACAACTGCAATAAGCTCTGTAGGTTTCAACCAGGTTAAGGTCTGATTGAAATTGGCTCTTAACAAACATAGTAAATGGGGATCTGCTGTCCTTACCAGCTCATTTGAGTCCTAATCTTGTGTCTGGGCCACTGGATACAAGGTGAGATTTAGCTAGCATTGTCAGAGTAAGAAGCCTGAAGTACTTCCTGCGCTTTTTTGAAAATCAAGC